AGAGATCAGAGGACACCTCTCTGTCTTCCTCTGTCCCAGAAAACAGACGTCTCATTCTTATTATGAGCCTCTGCAACCCAGCCCCACACATATAATTTACCTTCCTACTTCTGAGGCCTTCACCAGGGGATCCTCACTGAACAACACCATAACAAAAGACCGAATGCAGGTCAGGGTTTTGGGCAAACACCATCAGCCCGATTTTGCAGACAAGAAAAGTGGGCATAGAGAGTACGCTACTTGCCCCAAGTCACATAGCTACCTGGAGGCTTCTGGAAGTCCAGCTCGAGAGCTTGTTAAGTTCTAGGAGCAAATCTTAATGGACACACCTGGCTCTGACCCCACCTGGTTTCTGTCAACACCATCTTGCAGGTGCCTGACCACACCCGCCCTTAGCGACTCTTCAAGATTAACACCACTTGACAGGACCTCAGAGGATGCCTGAGGAAAGATGGCCTAGGTCTGGCATGTAGTGTGGTCATGAAACGTTGGGTTCCTTTCCCTTGGGGTAATAATTCATACTTAAAGCTGCCAAGAAACCATCTCCAGTAACGTAAGACCAACCTAGTATGAGAAATCACAGACAAAGGATATGAACAGGTAATTCAGACAAACTAAAAAGTTCAACATAGAAAAGAATTCCATGATTTTGGCCATGTGAGAAACATAATTAAAAGGATACTGTATTTTGGGCCATTAGACTGGCAAACTTAAAAAGTCAGTGCTGCAGGGAAACAAGTAATGGAAAGATGTGAGCTAATGAGGCCTTCTTGGGGGTGCTTTTTGGCAAAACTGCTGATTCAAAATTACTCCGTGTCCTACTGATGCTAGCAGGGGCCTAAAGACTGAAGGGTGGGCACTAAAGGGCTGGTCCATATACAATTGGCCATTTTTTGTTGTTGTTTTTTGTTTTTTGTTTTTTGTTTTTTTTTCGAGACAGGGTTTCTGTGTGTAGCTTTGAGCCTTTCCTGGAACTCACTCTGTAGCCCAGGTTGGCCTCGAACTCACAGAGATCCCCCTGCCTCTGCCTCCCGAGTGCTGGGATTAAAGGCGTGGGCCACCACCGCCTGGCTCAATTGGCCATTTTTACAACAGAAAATTAGAAAGGACCTATATGCCCACCATTACAAGATGGTTCAATAAATTACAGCACACCCCTACCCTGGATTATGGATCCCCACTTCCAAAAAAGGGTAAACTCATCATGTCAGTACACACACAGTGCTCCAGAACACAGCACGGAATTGAAAAAGCCAATCAGAGAAAACAGTATGTAATGCAACTATATTTGCATTTATGTGAGCAATTTAAACATTCATTACATTTTCATTTATTTTGAGTCACCAAGGATGGAACCGGGATTGTCAGGCTACTACGAGGCAGGTGCCCCTACCTGCTGAGCCACCTTGCCAGCTCTAACAAGACACCAGTCCACTGAAAAGGCCTAAGCCAATGACACGGACTGTCAAGGTAGCTCAGAGGCACAGGGCTTCTTTGGCATGCACGACACCCTGAGTTTGATCTCCTACACTGCAATACATACATAAATAAATGTGGTGACACCATCTCCACTTGCCCAACTACTACTGGCATTCTGGAGTCTAAAGCCACTCTCCATGAACGAAACGGAGCTCTGGAAACGGCTGGTTCTGAGGCTGAGGCAAGGAAAATACAAAGTGAGTCTCAAAGATTCTGTACCAGAATGGAAACGAAGTCCTTAAAGAATGATGGGAACATGTTCAAAGGAAGAGGCTCCCAAAGGCCCAATCTGGGGCACTTTGCGTAATAAAGAAATAATGACAGCAACAGACTAAAGTCTCATGAATACGGCAAGATTTTCACATTCCAGGGATGTAAATCAAAAAGTAAGGGCATTCTAGGGAAAAGAAAAGGTGTCCTCTTCAGTACAGTTCTAACTAACACGTGTAGAAGGAAACAGGGAATTAGAAAACCCCATCTGTCAACTCTATATGATTCAGATAAGAGGCATCAATGGTTTCGAGCTGTGGCTGGACAGACTAAGGAGTAACATGTCCTGCATCCCAACGAGATACATATTAATCTCAAAGAGGAAAAATGTAACTTTTCAATGAGGCCTACACCATCCTAATCAAGATATCAAAGCTAACAAACCTAGTGTCAAGTTTTATGAGATAGTGGGCAGTATCTGTCTCACACCGAGCCCAGCAAGCCTCTGCTGCTCCTGCAAGAAGTACCTAACCTGATTCCAAATGATCGGGAAACCCAAATTGAGGGGCATTATCTGAAACAGTCAGTAGTCTTCAAACATGTCAATGACATCAAATACAAAGAAACTAATAGAGACTGTAGTCACAAAAAACAAAACAAACAAACAAAAAAAAATAAAAACCTGAAGGCAACAAATAAGCTAGGGTTTTCTTTTGGGATAAAGGACTTTATTGGAGCAATTTCTAAGAAAAAAATAACAGGATCCTGTCAATGTTCATTTCCTGGGTTTTAAGTACTGTATGTACAAAATGTTTTTAAGAAATCCACCTCAACAGATTTAGAGGTACAGGGTATTTAGCGTCAAGGTACAATTAAGTTGTTTGTTTGTTTGTTTGTTTAAAACATGAAAAGGAGAGAAGAGTAACAGAGATGAAGGAAAATGCCAAGATTAGGAGAAGCTGGACAAAGATTTTCCGAAAATTATTAATATTAGTACTATTCTTACAATTGTGCTGAGAGGACATCAAAACACAAAAGAAAAATTAGTTAAGAGAGCAAGGAGCACTCCAGGGGTTTCTGAGGACTGGGTTCATGATCGCATTTTCTTTCAAGCACAGAGAGACAGGCAAAGCAAAGCAAGCCAGCAAGGGTCTAGTTAATACTGGTCTCCCTAACGTGTGCTCTGCTCAGAGCTGCTCTAGGACCAGTCTCAAGTTGTGTAAAAGAAGCACGAGCGTTATCCAGCTTTCTCCATCACAGAATTGTGCTGTTTACTTCTTCAGTGAAAGTCAAAGCCTCCTGATGATTCTGAGAACTTCTCTGGACTATAGAAGCCAAGGAGGAGCTTTTCATTAAAACGTCAAACCAAGACAAAATAGCCTTGATGGACAGTTTCCCCCTCCACTCTGCCCTATGGAGTTCTTGAGATGCTAACCCATAGGGTGGGGGTGGAGGTGACCTGGTCCCAGTACTCTTCTGGTCCTTTCTTTTGGTGCATTCATCGATGCTAGCTGAGAATCCTCCTAGGTAGGCAGCTGAGTAGGGTCAACAATTCTTTATCATACACACCCCATTTCTCCAGTGTTCTATGATTTATGCAAATCTTCTGGGTGTATTTCCATAAAGTGATTTTTAACAACTAATACTCATTTTAACAGCAATACTACAAAGTACCTGGTTTCCAAAGCAATGGAATAAACTCTAACGTATGCCCTAAACTCTGGATCTGCTTGAGAGCCTGGAATTACCTAAGCAGATTCTCAGATGGGTGACGGCAAATGAAAGGCAAAGTAGCTAAGGAAGAACGAGAGAGAAATGCTCTCACAGAGCTCAGCAGAAACACAGCCCTCGCTTTTCTCTCTGTTTGTCCTACATGCATTCCCGCAAGCCCAGTCTTTAGGACAACCCGCCCTCCCAGGGAGCTTGGTTCATCTCTACATCGTGTTGACAAGACACGAGGAACACCGCCTGGCAACGCTGTTCACACTCAGCGCCACCCGAGAAACAGCGTTGTGATCTCTTGACACCAACACTTGTACAGAACCAACACTTGGACCTCCTCCAGCGAGCAGCAGCTCTCTTCAAAGAACTCAATTTTCCAGGAGAGACCTTTTGTCAAAGTAACCCCCCACACACAAACAAGGGCCTGAGCCCAGATCCAAAAACAAAATTTCCTGTCTTCAGCCAAAGACAACAAGGCTAAGTAAGTAGAACAATCCATAGCTGTTCACTGCCCAGACGCTAGCATTCAGATGTCAAAACAAACTCAGCAAACGAGGTTCGGTTGTCACCTTTTAGAGATGAGAACATTGAGAACCTCAGTTAGCAAGTGACAGAACCTTCAGAATTCACACCCAGATCAGCCCACTCTGTCCTCAGGCCCTCATGATGTCCCCATTGTCCACACAACCTACTGGGCACAGGAGTGAATCAAGCAGACTATCACTGCAACATCTCAACCTCGGTGCCACCCCACCCCCTCCATCCCCTTGGCTCAGATGCCCTAACTGGCAGGTGACAAATCACATTATACTCTCGGGCAACCTCTCAACACCAAACACCTTCAGAGGCAAAGCGAAAGACAAGAAGATGAGATTTACAACGGCCTATACTTCCTTCTTACCCAGAGGAACATTTTCATGAGCTGTCAACTCCGGGCAGGAGGAACCCACCATTATGTAATGTCAGAGGGCAAGCGACAAGGGGCAAGAGAAGCCAAGGCCCATCAATGCTCTCTTCCTTCTCCCACAAAGATATAAATTTGTGTCTGACATTTTGAGTGTTTCAGTGGCCTACACACTGATGACTGGCTTTGCAAAAGACGACCACGGATCCTACAAACCTCTCAGGCCTCAATTAGCTAACTAGCAAAACAGAGGGATATAAAATATATAAAGCAAAGGTGAGGGAGAGCCTGTCCGGGACGATGCGCGGACAGAAAATGCTTGAAGAGTTGCGAGGATGCAGTCGGCGTCCTCCACTAAGATGCATGTTTATTTTTACCCGGTGTTTTGACACGGAAGATACGCGCGAGGCCTTCAGAGTCGGATGCCCCGGGATCCAGCAGAGATGCACCGGGCAGGCGCGGTGTAGAGCATCCCACAGCTCCCCAAGAGGCCCAAGGCAAGGGGATCGCAAGTCTAGGACCACTCTCCAAAGACGCAGCCAGCGAACCGCTAGGCTGTACCACTGCCATGACAACCGCGGGCGCCATCCGGTCGGGTCCCCAGTGTCTCCAGCTCCCAGCTGCTGGGCCCCTCAGCTCAGCCCCGCACCACCGGACCCAGCTCGGCCCAGCTCGGCCCACCTACCTGGCGCGCCCCGACCCGGGCACTCACTCAGCCCCAGCCTCCGTCCTCTGGGACGCGAGCCCCCGCCTTGGTCCTGACGGTCTCTGCCGGGTCCTGAAGACTGGCCGGGACTTCGGTTCTGGCCGCCTTGCTCCGGCCGGTGGCGTCCACCCCAGACCCGAACCCGCTGTCCCCGCGCAGCCCGAACCCTGCCGCCGCCTTCACTCAGAACACAGCGCACAGCCCCGCCCCGGTTCCGCCCCCTCGCCGCGCATGCGCGTCCCACGCCCGAGCGGCGCCCTGCCCCCCTCCTTCGCTGACTCCGCCCCCAGGAGGTCGCACCGCCCATAAGGTTCCACCCCCTTCTGTGACGTCATCCAGGAGTGGGCTGTTTTATCCCCTTCATAAGCTGAGGCTTCTGCTAAGAGGACAGGTAATTAGGAGAAAAGCGCTGGAGGTCCGAAGAGCAGGTGTAACTAATCAGTCACTCGGTGGGCGTGGTTATCAACCAAGCTGCTATCAGTTGAATGTCCTTCCAGACCTGTTCTAGTTTATGTGTACAGATAACGCATGTGTACAGATTCCCAAGAGACAACAGTCCTAACACTCCCGCCTCAAAATTCTATTTTTCCATGGGGAAGAAGACTAGTCAGAACTTTCGGGAGATAGTTATATTTTAATTTCATTGTATTATTATTTATCTTAACAGGGACAGGGGCTCCCTGCCGGATAAATTTTTTTAACTTTACTATAACGTTAATGTTTCCGTCTGAAGAAGGAAAAATACTGGGCTAAACACAAACATTTAGTTTCAGGTTTTTTGAACATCACTGGTCGTTTTTGTTGCTTGCATTGTTTTTTGTTTGTTTGTTTGTTTGTTTGTTTTGTTTTGTTTTTGAAACAGGGTCTCATGTAACCCAGGTTGGTCACCAACTCGCTTTGTAACTGAGGCAGCTCTGAGTGCTTCGAGTTCCTGCCACTGCCTCCCAAGTGCTGAGATTGCAGGTGTGCACCGCCACACCCACTTTTATCTTCTGAAGAGTCACTTATTAACAAAATGCTTATCTTTTGTTATTTCTTCAGATGAATGGAAGAAAATATTGACAGAACATTAACCCTAAGACCAAAAGCTGGGTAAATCAAACATGCTTGCAAAAATGAAAAATACCTTCCTATTTCGTTTTCTAAAATTCAAGTGAGTGGTATACCTGGTCTTCTCAAGGCAGTCCCAGTTTACACCTCTCTCCTATTAATAGCAATCCCCTTTCACTCTCAAAAGCATCCCCATTTAGACAATAGCTGTTATGGCCAAAGTCCTAGTTTGCTTCTCTATTGCTGTGGTAAAACCACTAACAAAAAACAATATGGGGGGAGGGGCTATTTGGCTTACAGGTTACAAGTCTATTAATGGGGAAACCAAGGCAGGAACTCAGGGCAAAAACCTGGAAGCAGGAACCGAAACAAAAGCCATGGGTGAAAGCTCCTTGGTAGGGGTGCTCAGTTTGCTTTCTTATACAACTCAGAACCACCTGCTCAGGGGTGGCACCGCCCATCATGGGTCTTGCCCTCTCACATCATCCACTTAGAAAATGCCCCACAGAGGTGCCTAAAGAGCAATCTGATGGAGGTATTTTCTCAATTGAGATTCCCTCTTCCTAGATGAATCAAGCTGGTGTCAACAACAACGTACTAACCAGTATAGCCAGGTTATTTATAATCAAGCTAAGAAGAGTTCCAGATCAATAGCCTTGTGAATTTTTTAATTCCCAAGTTTAAAAATAAATATCAGTCTCATTTCAAGTCATTCAGGACAGTAACAGATCTGATCAGAGTTCCATTTTTGCCCCTTGACTCTTAAATGCTTCTGAGTAATATTAAAAGACCGATCATGTCTTCACTTTGTTGATGGGCGCCCCCTCAATCCATTGTACAAAGAAAATTAGCAAGGAAAGGGGAAGCTGAATTTGTGGACATACATGGCAATGTGTGTTCCCTACACATGACAATATGATAGAAGGTTTAGCCTGGGCACAACGTACCAGTTTTCTAACATTCTCGACATTGGGGCCCCAAACACCAGCAATGAAAACATCTTGGTAGGAATGGAATTATCCTGTCTAGGAGTACCCCTCCTCCAAACTACTGAGATAACACAATCCAAGAAATTGGAATTGACTCAGAATAATCTCTCATGCTGGGTGGAAGGAAAAGGTTGAGAAATCTGGTGTCAGCCAGAAAGAGATTTCACACGTAGCTCACAACTTGTCAGCGCACTCTGCAACAGAGACTAGAAAATGATGATGAGCATGCATGAACTTGACTGGGTCTGCTTGGCTACACAGAACTCTTGTTATATTGAAACAGAATCCTCATGTTAGGACCTGAGAAGATGGACAGCGGGGTGGGGAGGAGGGTGGAGGGTGGAAGGGTGGGAGAGGGTGCCGTTAGATCTTTCTGGCCTTCTCCCAGCGTAGTCCCACTAGACACATTTTCTTTTTCTTTTTTCCACTATTGTTTGTTGAACTGGCCTATTGAGGACTTGCGGCTGATTCTAACCTACCAGGGCTACTCAGGCTCCGATCCTCTTAACTCCAGACACAGCTTCAATTTTTCATTCAAAAGTTTACTAAGGATCCAGCGAGACAGCTTAGCAGATAAAGGTGAGTATCTGAAGATGTGAGTTCAAACCCCATGCTGCACATGGTGGAAGAAGAGAACCAGTTTCCACAAACTGTCCTCTGAGTTCCACTACCTGCACATGGATGCACTGTGGCATGCACACACATACTATTTTTAAAATAAAAGGCGAACAAACTAAAACGCTGGAAATGTAAATTCCCAAGCCCCACCCCAGACCCGGTTTTTTTTTTTTTTTTTTTTGTTTTGTTTTTCGAGACAGGGTTTCTCTGTGTAGCTTTGCGCCTTTCCTGGAACTCGCTTTGGAGACCAGGCTGGCCTCGAACTCACAGAGATCCGCCTGGCTCTGCCTCCCGAGTGCTGGGATTAAAGGCGTGCGCCACCACCGCCCGGCCAGACCCGGTTTTTAACAAGCCCTATGGGGGTGCTGAAGAGCATACCAACTTAAACCATCTATGTATGATAAATAGCTAATACAAGAACTAAGGGCTGGGCAGCATTATCATTGGGACTAGAGCCATCCTACATGAGACTTTCTCTCAGATCATTAGATATGATGTTTACATGTATGAGTAGTTTTGTAAGGAAATAGACTAGAGCACCATGGGTTCTGAAGCCCTGAGAACTGTGGAAAGTCGCTCTAGTGTCCACCGAAAGGACCAAAAGGACTTGAGCACCTCAAAAAGTCCTGTTCCCCAAGCATTATTTGACTTGTCTGATAGCGTCCTGCTTGGACTGGTCTTTAAATAACGTGACTAAGAACTTTCTTACAGGCAATGGAGCCATTTGCCAGGTTTAAAAAAACAAAACAAAACAGCAGCCACAAGTGTTTAACATTGCAGCTGCCTGAGCTGGTTGGAGTAAACAAAGGCTTCCCTAAAAATTTAAAAGGAAGAGAAAATGGTAGTGGTGGGAAGGGACCGTGAAGGAACTGGAGGGGATGGAAACTGGGGGTGGGTTGATCGAAACATTATATGCATGTATGAAATTCTAAAAAAGTTGTAGTCATTTTTAAAACTTTAAAGGAAGGGGGTGGAGAGATGGTTCAGCAATTAAGAACACCGGCTGCTCTTCCAGAGGACCAGGGTTCAATTCCCAACTCCTACGTGACAGGGCACAACCATTTGTAACTCAAATTCCCGGGGAGTCAATGACCTCTTCTGGCCTCCACAGTCATCAGGCATGCATGTGGCATGTGGACATACATGCAGGCAAAACATCCATACACATAAAAAAATAAAAGTAATAAAAATCTTAAAATACATGGAGAATGGGATGTCTATGGAGGAAGGAGTTAAAAAGATAAATATTTCTGAAATTCTAAAAGGATTTTCTAATGAATACAACTAAGCTCATGCCCAGGAAAGACTTGAAACAGCCCCCCAGTTTTCCACCTTCAAGCAAATCTTGAGACTTAGAGCAAGCAGGATGTGATGCTTAAGGAAGTTGCCAAAGCCTGCCTGAAAATTGAAGACAAGCCCAGCACACACACACAGTCCTAACTCTAAACACAGGAAGGACTTGAGGAAGTCTCTAATCACTGGGGAGCCAATAAGCTAACCAAGCAAGGACCTGTGATGGCTTGGATGTGACATGCCCTCCAGACATCATGTAGACTTCCTCTTATTTTGATTTTGTGGAGTCTTGTTTGCTTGCTTGTTATTGGTTTTGCTTTTATTTTTATTATAAGAGGGTATTGCTATGTAGCTGTTATGAGTGTGCTTTGTCAGAAGGAGACACGTGTTTTTGTCTTTCTACAATATCAGAATTTATTGAATAACAAAAAAATTCACAAGGTACAGTGTTTTCATTGGCAGCAATTTGCCATATAGTCCCATTTTCCTTCCTAGCCCTGGCAAAGGTAAATGCCTGTTCAAATATTCCAGTCTTAATTACTGATATTAACTCTTTGATCACATATTATACAACAATAAATGTGTCTATTGTACATACAAAGATTAGAGAATGACTACAAAGAGTTAAAGAGGCTTGAGAGGTCAAACCTGGAAAATGGAGAGGAATGCAGAGGCATGGGGCGGGGGGTCTGTCCTAATTGACTTTTTGTTGCTGTGATAAACACCATGACCAAAAGGAACTTTAGGAGGAAAGAGTTTATTTGGCTTACATAGCCAGATCATGGTTCTTCACTGAGAGAAGTCAGAGCAGGAACTCAAGGCAGGAACTTGGAGGAAGGAACTAAAGCAGAGGGCATGGAGGAATGGTGCTTGCTCAATTCCTTTTCTTGTACAACCAAAGACCACCTGCCCAGGGGTGGTACAACTGCCAATGGGCTGAACCCTTCTACATCAATCATTAATTTAAGAAAAAATGCCTCATGGATGTGCCTATGTGCTAATCTGATGAAGGCATCTTCTCAGTTGAGGTTCCCTGTTCTCAGATGGTTCTAATTGTGTCATGTTGACAGAAAGATAAGGAACACAGGTATATTAGTCAGGGTTCTCTAGAGTAACAGAACTTACAAAAATGAATCTCTCTATATTTAGAAAGGGGATTTATTAGAATGACTTATAGGTTGTGGCCCAACTAATCCAACAATGGCTGCCTATGAACAGGAGGCCCAAGAATCCAGAAGTTGTTCGGTCCA